GTCCTGGAGATTTATTGCACAGGATAGTGATTATCACCAGCAATATGGTATCATAAACTTCAAAGCTGCCTGAGACATAGTCTTAAGTGTTCTCACCACAGGAAAGAAATGATAATGATGTGAAGTGATGGAGGTTGGCTAAGGCGGCAATCATACTGCAATATACAAATGTATTAAATCAACGCTCATATGATTCATCCTTTGAACCACTAGTCCTCTAGTTTTATGGTTTTTACATTTCCAAATGTTTGGTGATTGTTTCTACTATGTTCATTGCATTTGGTCAGAGAACATCATGGATGTGATATAGATTATCTGGTGTTTGTATTCTTTGGTGTTCATTGAATACTTTAAACTTACACAGTTGTGTCAATTATACCCCAGTTTTTAAAACTGAAGTCATTCAGAGTATACGCTACAAATCAATAAAAAAAGAGATCATTGGAAAATCTTCAACTGCCAGGGAAGCAAATAATATACTTCTAGGCAATCCAAGGGCCAAAAGAATCATAATGAAATTTTAAAATAATATTTTTAACCAAATGATAAGACATACTGAGCTTATGGGATGTGGCTAAAACAATACCTAAAGGGAAATTTATAACCTTAAATAAGAAAGACTGAATATTAATGATCTAAGCTGCCATGCCAAGATGATTTTTTTAAAGAAAATCAAACCTGAAGTAGAATAAATGATATAATAAATATGAGTAGAAGTTCATATATAGAAAATACAGAATAAAAAATATCTTAAAAGTTCTCACCACAAGAAAAAAAATTTCTATAACTATGTGACAAATGGTAACTAGACTTAAATATTGGGGATTATTTGCAATATATATGTTGAAACATTATGTCGTATGACTGAAACTAATATAATGTTGTAAATCAATTATACCTCAATAAAAAATGATTTAAATTATATATATCTACAAAGCCAAAAGTTGGCTCTTTAAAAAGATTAATTTGATAAACCCCTAGAACTAATAAAAAAAGAAGAAATAAGACTGATAAAAAAAAGAAAGCATGGATTATTAATATCAGGAATGAATGAAAAAGGTTTACTTTTTTAACCACAAATCTATAGACAATATATAAATATTGAAGCTATATTTTGAGCAATTTTATTTGAACAGTTTTGACAATTGGGATGAAATTAATAAATTCCTCAAACAAAACAAAACACACAAACACAAAACCCTCATTTAGCAAAACTAAGAGAAGAAGAAATGGAAAATTGGAGTGCTCTGGCCCCCGTTAAGGAACTGTGAATCTCTGCTTCCAACTGTCTGCTGGATTCCCTGGGCTCTGCATGCACAGCACAGAAGTCAGGTAAAATTTAAGGGGTGTTTGTAGGCAGCTGGGGGCCCCCTAGTCTGCAGCTCCGTTCTTCTCCATGCATTTCCTTCTCAATTTCCAGCTTCTCTGGCAGCCTAAACCTTGACCCCTGGCTCAGTTCTCAGCCAAGAGTCACTGTTATGTTGAACTCTAGTGCCCTGGGTGCCACCGTGAACTGGACCGAGCTCTTAGGGACCTTTCCTAGTTTTCCTTCCTCCTTTTGAAAAACATGACCCTCTAGATTCTGCCCGCTTTGCTTGCTGTCTAGTATCTTCAAAATGGTTGGGTTTGGGGGTTTTTTCTGTTTTTTGTTTTTTTTTTTACGGATTATATAACTTCAAAAAAAATGATTTCAAGCTTTCAGCTGTGTTGCAAAAATAATACAAAGAACTATGTATATTTCACACAGATTCAATTGTTGACACATTTTCATGATTGTTTTCATAGATTAGATGATCTGTATACATATATATACATTTTTTACATAGATATATTCTTAACATTCATTTCTTAGGTTTTAGATTTACCCAAAAAATTGAGAATAGTACAGAGAGCCCCCATATACCCACACCCGGTTTCTCCTGTTATTAATATGAGAACAGTTGGTTACAATTAATGAATCAAAGTCAATATTCATTCATATTTCCTTAGTATTTACTTAAGGTCCCTTTTCTGTTCCAGGATCCCATCCACGGTGCCAGATTACATTAGCTGTCATTCACGTCCCCTTAAGCCCCTCTTGGCTACAACAGTTTCTCCAACTTCCCTTGTTCTTTCGACCTTGACAGTGTGGAGGAGGACTGGGCAGGTGCCTTGAAGAGTTCCTCTCTATTGGTATTTGTTTGATGTCTTCCTCGGGGGTCCACTGGGATTGTGGGCTTTGGGGAGGAAGACCACAAAATTAAGTGCCATTCTCATCCCATCACACCGAGGGTAGATACTTCTGATGTGCCTAATCCCTGCTGTTGACCTTGACCACCTGGCTAAGTCAGGGTTTGTCGGTTTTTTCCACTGTAAAGTTAGTCCCCGCCTCAACACCCCACCCCTGCCCTTTTCCACACTGTCCACTTTAGCAGGAAGTCACTGTGTGCAGCTCACATGTAAGGAGCTGGAGTGATGCCCCCCTACCATTCCCAGTGAGGTTAGACTATTCACAGAAACGATTTAGAATTTTTCTACATGAGATGTGTCTCTCCTTCCCAGCTGGGATTTTTCATATTTTATTCAGAGTTTATCACTCTTATCAGCCAGAGGGTTTTTCCAATACAAGTTTTTCCACCATTACCTGAACTGGATCTTCCCTTATCTAACATTTGTTGGACACTTACTGTGTACCGTGCAATATGCTAGACACCTTTTTGCGTCTTATTTAATCCTTGCAATCACCTTGTGCAATGAGTATTACTAAACCTATTTCATGGATAAGCAAACGGACACTCACAGAGTTTCTCTGTCCATGAACCCCACTGGATTCCTGCATGTGCTGGACACACCAGAGCCTAAAACTCGGAGTGAATGTCCATGTATTCTCTGTCCACCCAGGTTTTGTGCTGTTAGGTGAGCCTGGCTCTGCATCCTCCCCTGCACACATTTCTCAGACAGTCTCCCTGGTTCCCTATCCCTCCTGGCCTGCTGGGCCTGGCTGTGTGCTGTCTGGGCACTGAGGTTGGCTTGCCGCAGAGCCTACCCCAGATCCAGGTCCACGATTTCCTGTGAACTCTCAGGCGCAGGTGGAGAGACTCTGGCCCTCAGGGCAGCCCCAGGGTATGAGGGGCCACAGTCAAATGCGCTGCTAACACAGAAAGCAGCCTCCTCACCAAAGGACAAAAACAGCCCCTCACACACCTAGGAAGACCTGAGACATCTCAAGGCCTATTTCACACTTGGAACAAAATCCCCCACCCAGATGCTAAAAGGTGAGAGAGCAGAGAGGGAGCTCAAGTCTCAGAAGCCGCTATGGTTGGAAAAGAAACCAAACAAGACGGTTTCTGGGCAGTTAGCCCACCTGCCCCCGCCACAGCCCCTGGAGGAGGATTGTGGGTACCGCTGAACAGTAAGGCTCACCAATGTTAGGGCGCTCAGCCACGCAACACTCCAGATTTGCGCCTCACCCCCACCCCTAGGCCTCACAACAGGCACCCCAAAGGGGTGAGAAACAGGACTTAGGGCAGAATCTCGTTTGACTTTTACAAAAGCCCTGGAAGGATGGCAAGGAAGGTCTTATATCCTCACTTGGCCGTAGAAATGGAGGCCTGGATGTGTGAAGTTATTTGCCGAACACAGGACAGTGAGTTGGCAAGTTGTCCGATCCTACCTTGGATGAGTCGGGGGGAAACTACCACTGCCGTTGCAAAGGTTAAGTAGAAACACGTGGTAACAGCGGCCGATCAGTGAAGGGGAGATGGAAACTGTTGGTCAAACAGGGCTCCACAAGTCGGGCGTCCCTCAGGGGGACTGGAATGGCTAGTGGTCCTCAGGGCGGTTCTCTGAAAACACTGGTAAATACTCTGCAGAAGGAGGGAGGAGGTGGCGGAAGGAAGTGCAGATGGCCCATCCTTCCAGGCCGCACATCTCCTCACTCCGCCTGCCATCTCCGGGAGCTCTGTGCCCGGCGTGGGGCACGGGGGCAGGAACCGCTTGCGGGCATGTGCCCTGGGAACCAATTGGGATCAGGCATATAGCCGTCAGAACTACAGCTGGCCTCCTAGGAGAGGAAACATCCCACCTCAGGGTTCTGCCCCCCGTCAGACAGCTCTCTGAGGGCTGCCAGCACCCGGCCTAGCACCTACCCACAGTGGGACAACATGAACTGTTTGTTGACTTGACTTAGGTGCTCCTGAAAGAGCGTGAAGTCATTCCCCCAGGATCACGTTGCAAGTAATAGAAGTGAGATTCAAGCCAGGCTGACAGCTGATCTCACATGCACGCTATTCAGCATGTTCCCCTCCACCCTACGAGCTTCTTGCCCCAGGACCAGGATGGTGTCGGATGCTCATCCTAGTGCCTGTAACTGCTGACACAGTGTCCGCCACCCACTAGGCTCTTCCAAAAGTTTTCTCAACCAAAGTTCAGAGGTCTGCCCTAACACCCAGCTCAGGGGGTTTCCTTGCTAAACCACATGCCACTGTGGGCAGGAAGTTGAAGGATGGGGCCTGAGGGAAGAGGAGAGAGGAAGGGTCCCTGGACACTGAGCAGTGGCCATTGGCCAGGACTGGGGCAAAGAGTGGGGAGGTGGCATATACTGACCTGCACACAGTTCCTGAAACCCAATGCCCCCTCCCTGAAGGTGCTGGTCATACCCAGGTTCTGCCATCTGTCCCCTCTGCCCGGAACGCTCTGCCCTCCCCTCTGTCCCTGGTTACCCCTCCTGGTTCCTCCCATGACAGGGCTGCACAGCACCTACCACTGTTGCAATTCTGCCTGCTATTTGGGTGCTTATTTATTAACATTCATCTCCCCTTCTGAACTGTAAACCCAGGAGGTCTCTGCTTTGCTCACAGCGTATTCCCTGCTTCCTGCAGCATCTGGCATTGAGTAAATGCTCAAGAAATACATGTGAAATAAAAGAATATTGAATAATACGGAAATGAATGCTGAAAATGGGTGAAAAATGGCTCCCCAGAAGATATCCAGGTCTAATCCCTGGAGCCTGTGAATGTTACCTTTTATGGAAACAGGATATCCACATATGTGATTAAGGATCTTGAGGTGAGGAGATTATGCTAGATTAGCAGGCTGAGTCCTGAATGCAATCACTTTTAGGTTCTTAAGAAATCTGTGTGATTAAAAAGAGACAGAGATTTCACACACATACACACACAAGAGACAGCAGCATGAAGACAGCAGCAGATACCGGAGGGATGTGGCCACAAGCCATGGAACATGGCTGCCCGCCGAAGCTGGACGAGGCTGGGAGGGGTCCCTCCTACAGAGTCTGGAGGGAGTGCAGCCCCGCCAGCACCTTGCTTTCACCTTAGGGAAACCAGTGTCCGACTTCTGGCCTCCAGGACTGTAAGAGAACAACTTTCCACTATTTTAAGCCACCAAATTTGTGGTGATTTGTTACAGCAGCTCCAGGAATGGAATAAACCTCCCAAGTTTGACCTTTCTCCTCACTCCCACCCTCCACCCCCTTCCAACCAACTCTCTCTGTGACCAGACGCTTCAGATTTGGGGGAGAAGAAAGAGAAAGGGGGCATTCAAGAAGAAAGAGTGGAGAGGCTGAGGGCAAGAGGCCAGAATGAGAGTAGGGGTGGGGGTGTATTTTAAAGCTGCTGGAGGCAGGACAAGGCTGCAGGAAGAAGAGCCCACGTTTCACTCTCCCTCCTGCAGTGAGTATTCTCAAGGGGAAATGGGAGGGGCCAAGCATCCTCTAGCCCACCTGTCTATCAGCCACAGCCATGCTCCCCACACAGGAGCCAACCCATAGCCAGGTGAGCCTCACTAACTGGCCTCCACCCCAATGCTGGCCTTGCTGTTTGCTCCCACCTCAGGGCCTTTGCACATGCTATTCCCACTGCTCAGTATGCCCCTCACCCACATATCCACATAGCACATTCCCTGGCTCCTGCCATTCCTGAAAACTTCATTCAGATGTCACCTACTGGGGGAGGCCTTCCCAACCGACCTATCCAAGACTGCAACCCCTCTCCCCTTCCCTCTACCACGCCCTTACTTTACTGTTCTCTGTAGCATTTATCACCATCCGACACACGACCTGTTTATCTAATTACTAATTACTGACATCTGTCGCCTCCTTCAGCCTGAACACTCAGTGTGGCAGGGGTTTGGACTGCTTGCTCTGCCTGGAATGAAGCCTGGATTGATAACTATTTGCTGAATGAATAAACATTCTCAGAGGGCCTTTCTCTGGGGAAATGGAGGTGCTGAGAGCCATTGGGGGGAACAGTGGGGTCCGGATAATAAGGCCTCTGCTTCCAAAGCCAGCAGCCCATCTTGCTGCCAAACACAAACCCATCAGGGTACTTTTTGCCATTTCTAGTCATTTCTACACCAAGAGCACTGGCAGTGGGGGGCCATCGTGGACCCCACCCTGGCTGTCTTGGGTCCTGGATCGCTCACAGGGGGACACAGCTGTGCCCTAACACCTGGCAGCCTCCACAGTGGCCTACAGCTGGAATTATCCCATCCTTGTATTTGCTCGTGGATGGCAGGGGTGCTCACATGGAAACCCTTCTATAATTTATAAATGTGGACACAGGCAGTGAGTGTGTATAAGACTTTCATGAACCCCAGAGCATTTGTTCACTTAGGCTTTAGAAATTTAAAAATTAGGCTTAGAACTTCTACAGATTTGGAACTTTAAGCATGAGTCACCTATTTGGAACTTCATCCCATGCACTGAAGTGTTGACTAAGAGCATATATATTTCTGAACATTTATTACTTAATCAAAGAATTGATATGTGTCAAAAATTTGTTTACCTAAATTTTCAGAAGTGTAAAAATAACCTCACCATGCACAAGAACTCTAAAAAGATGCAGAAGAATGTGAATTTTCCTCTCACAGGTCCTGAGAATTTTCCGCTTGGGTTCCTTTGGTGTCTGGGAGGAGGGGCTGGGGCCGGAGAGAGGGGCAGGTTAGTGAGGGTGGAAAGGAGGTCGGCTACTGGCCGCCAGAGAGATGAGCAGAACCTCTCTGCAGCAGCCCCCCACTGTTGGCTTGTGAAAAAGAGTTTGGAAAAAAAGTGCAAAGAGCATCACCTGACTTGTTCTTCGGTCCCAAAAGGTCAGATGGCCACAGAATGAATTTGAGGGCGAGGTGTGAACCTGCCATTATCTAAATTAGCTCTTCCTCTCTGACTTTTGTTTCCTTAAAAATCATAAGAACTTCAACGGCAGCCTAGAACAGTATAGCTTCCCTCTCCCACGCCCTTCTCTCACACACCAGTCCGCTGGGCACATGTGCACAGTCACAGTTCACTATCCCCAGCTGACCTTCAGTTACCACTTCTTGTGCTTGCCATTTAATTCTGTGAAAGAGAAGAGGCCTTATTTCCAATAGGTCCTGGGGAAAGTGCTGTAACAGAAACAGGAGGACAGATGAATTGACCTCTGTCCAGGGATTCCCCAAGGGGACACGGAGATGTCCCGGAGCCCTGAGAGGCAGGGAGAAGAGGTTTTAATCATTTCAGTCAGGAAGAGATTGCGAGCTGGTCAAAATGTGCTTGGCCTGGCAGCAGAGAGGAGACCCAGTCCACTAGAAAACCAGCAACGGGACTGACATCCTGCATGTGTGATTTTTGTAGAGGTTACAGAACAACTCATATCTAAGCTGGTCCTTCTGAGCCCACATCAAAGTTATTTACGGCAGGTTTAAATCCCCTGAAAGTACATGCATGTGATGAGGTCAGTGCCTTGTCAAGGGCACTTAGCAAACGTCTGTGCACATAAACCCTCTCAACACCCGATGGGCTAGAAGAAGAGGTTGTCTTTTTGTTTTGCAGCTAAGAAGTCTGAGGTCTGGGGAATTTGTGACTTGTCACAGATAACAGGTGACAGCCTGGGGCTTGGACCCCAGGCCTAGTTCTTCCCACCCAGGACCCTTGCTGCTACTAGAGGTACAGTGGGATGGGAAGCTTTACATTCTTGAAATTAAAAACTATAATGCAAAGGGTTTCAGGCAATTCCTACATCACGGAGGGGTAATGAGGATTTGTCTTTAGGTGGGAGCCTCCTTCTGCCCTGGATGAACTGCCTTAGCCACATCACCGTAAAGTAATGCATGCCCATCATTCTGGACAAAGCCCCCGACATCAGCAGGGGGTCCCAGGCAGCTGCCTCAGGCTAGGGTGCTGGGGGTTTTGTTAGGCATTGTCAACTGAGTACCTCCTTAGCAGAACCGTGGCCCTGGGGGGCTAGAGAAATGGTTTTCCCTGAGTCAGAGTTTAGGCTGTCCCATCCCACATAGGAAAATCATTGTTCTTTGTCCCAGTGTCACTCACAGAAGAGCAGGTGCCCAGACAAGGGCAGGAGGGGGAGGGGAGGAGCCACCCTGGGACGCTCCTTTCTCTCCTGCACTGTTATCTAGGCGTAAGGCAGATAAGGGTCTATGCCAATGGCCAGCCCTACGTGGCCCCCGGAGCCAGGCTCTACCTTGGGATGGGGCTAGGAATTTCCCTCGAAGGATATTGATATTCCTGCTGTGAATCATGTGAAGACAAAACAGAAGAAGAAGAAGTGGGCTTTGAGCAACGGAAGGAAGGCCCCTCCTTGCTCTGGGGGCAAGAGGTGTTCAGGGAGGCCTGGAGATTCCCAAAGGTGGGGCGTTAGCTGGTCTCTCCCTGCCACAGTGACTGCCAGAAGCTCCAGGAAGGTTTGCAGAACTGGACCGAACGAGTGGGAGCTCCGAGTGGCTGCTGCCTGAAGTAGCTATAAACTATTTCTCCACATGCCTCCAGTAGCAACTTTTAAAGTTATGGGCCCTACGTCCACACTTGAAGTAAAGAGCCACAGACAGAGGCTACCAAAAGGAGACATTAAGAGGTGAGACCACCAGCATGGCTCTGGGCCTGTGAGGCTCCTTGGGGAGAAACCACAAGCTATCTGCAAAGGCACACAGAATTCCTGCCTCGGGATGGGATGGGGGATTGCACTGCTGTTAAGTTTAGAATTAAAGGGAAATGACACCGCTAAAAGCTGAAGCAGTCAGTCATGAGGCCTACAGAAAGAAGACACAGCTATTTCTTGAAATAACATGGGATGTTCTTTTCAATGTTCTCTTCTTAGCTTCCTGCATCCCAGGTTCACAAATGACAAGAGACTAGGTCGTCACCCTTCCCGATGAGGCGATTTTCTTAGGAATCACCTTGGAGCGGGGAGGGGTCCTAAGTACAGCCAAAGGGCCCAGTCACCCTAGGATGGGGTGGGGCTCAGCACAACATGCAGCCTGGAGAGAGGCCAAGACTGAGTGCACACAGACAACGGGAGAAGGGGCCTGGCTCCCTCCAGTCGGTGTGTGGCCTTTCTACTGCTCACTGCTACCCGGCACCCCCTTCTTAATTGGGAAGCCTTCATCAGTTGTCAAACACTTTTGTATATGGCCTTATAACAGCCTAGGAAAGTTACAATTGTTCCAATCTTATCAATGGCGAGTAGAGGTAAAGGGACTGGTCTGAGGGCACGCAGCAGGCGGTGGCCAAGCTGGGGCCGACTAGGGCTCCCGTTTCTCAGGCCCACGGGGTCCTCCCAGCAGCCTTGTGAACCTTGGTCACTGACCAAGAATGGTGGCCCAGGTAGAGCTGTAGGCGTGGGAAAGCTCTCAGCCCCTGCTGCTTCAAGGGAATTAGCAGGGGAGACCCCCCCACATGGGGGGTCCATACTTCTCCCTCTGTCCTCAAGGCTGATGTGCGTGACACTCACGGTATCTTCATCGTTCCACAGGCTTGGCCACTGTGGCTTGTCAGGCAGAGCTGAGCTTCAGTCAGGAGACCGGGATTTTGATTTTGCCGCTTACCTAGAGAGTCGCCCTGGCTAGTCATCCCCACACTCTTGCTTACTGGTCTATTTCAGATGCAAATCTGTGTGATTCCCTCCTGCCCGAACCCCTCAGGGGTTCTACCCAGCTAAGATTCCAAAAACTCCCCACGCAAGCCCAAGTCACCACCTAAACAGAGCAGAGAGATGTTCGGAAGGGAGGTCGGTCCCCCTTCCGAGCCCTACTACCCTCAGCAGGGAGAGTCAGGCAGGAAGTGGAGGTGTGTGGACATTAACCAGGTTCCTGCTGGGGCCGGGGCCGGGGCTGGGGCTGGGGCTGGGGCTGGCCCGGGGTGGCTCCTTCCCCTTCCACCTGTGATTCTCCTGCACCCAGTGGTTCCGAGGGTCCCCAGGCAGCTTCCCTGTCTCTGTTTCCGTCTCTGGATCCGTTCCATCTAGGTCTCTCCCCGTTGTGTGTATCTCTGACACAGTGATCACAAGGCCTGGAACTTCCCTAATCACCAGTCCAGCCACAGAAACTGCAAGTTGCGCCTGTCACCACACTGGAGTGCGGGCTTCCTGCCCACTCAGATGCCAGCCCTCCCTGCCAGGCATGCCCATGTAGCAGCCGCACCCTGAAGACCAAGATGAAGGAAAGCAAAAATGAGACAATGGAACCATCTGGAGCTGTGACAAATTTCCCACTGTGACCAAGGGGGCAAGACGTCTGCCCAGCTTTGCCCACAGGCTCCCCGGGGCTCACCATCCTCCCTCTGCCCGCAGTGCTCGGCCCTGAGCCGTTCCTCCTTCCCCTGCCCTCCCTCTCCTCTCTCTCAACTCGCTGGACATCTGTCTTCTCCAAGAGCTCTTCCAAGACTGGGAAGAACATTGCTTCTCTGGTGGTAAAAGTGTGAGCTCTGGGGGCACGGAGACCTGGGCTATAAGCGCCGCTCTGCCACTCACTGGCTGAGTGATGCAGACTAGTGACTTCACCTCGGACCCCACTTCCCATCTGTAAAACACTGATAATGATGCCAATCTTGCAAGGTGGTAATGCGGATTAAATGAGACAATGTTCGCACATTCATCAGGGTAGTTAACACTAGCCATAACAAAAATCCCAAAATCTCAGTGGCTAGAGAGGAGTTCCTCCTAAGTGACGTCACAGGATGCTGCCAATCGGATATCTTCCCTGCATAGCCCCCGTTCAGGACAGGGGAGTATTTGCAGAACAGTAAAGAGGCCTGGCCAGGAGTGGCGCTCACCAAGTCAACTTTACATTAGTTAAAACCCAGTCGTGTATCCCACCTAATCACAGCCAGGAAACTTAGCTGCCCTGTGTGTCCAGGAAGAGGATGTGGGTCGCTAAGCATCTAACCAATCTCTGCTTCAGTATGTTTTCAGCATGGTGCCTGATACAGTGAGAGCTGAATAAGCCAAAGATGACTATGATAATTTCTACTGTCCATCCCAATACTGGTATGAACATGAGACATCTCAGAACCTCCGTGTGAACTTCCCAGAACACTGAGATTGAATAAC